TGCCCTTCGTGCAGACATCCCCTGCTCCGGAGCGGCCGCTGCCCGTCACCTGCGCAGAGGCTGCTGCAAAGGACACAAATCCGGACACTCAGATCCACTTGGATTTAAGGGTGATGTGGATCGATGTCCCTTGATGTGAGGAGCACTTCTTACTTCTCCCTCCCCTTTTTTCCCCCCTTTCTCTCTCCATTAAATCTGGTCATCTTTATTTGCAATTTCAAAGCTTTTTCATCAGCTTTAAAATTCAGCTATATGGAAGAAAGATGAGTAGACTTATTTTCTTAAAGAAATCCTACTTCTCACTGGCTTTTTAAGAGTGAAGGTAGAAACTAAAGAGGAAAATGACACTTAATGCCATCTGTACCAGTAGCCTTATTTCTGAAAAATCCCTCTCTCCTATTCCAAGGCATTAACCAAATTCACTTCTCATTGTGTGTGGGTAAAGCCCTTCTACACCCAAAGCATTAGAAACCTGGGCAGCAAGATTTCATCTAAAAGGCAGATAAACATGCAAACTGGGGGAAATCCCAGAAAAGGAGACTTAGGAGGTTTAACTCTCCTAAGCCAGCAGCTGAGGTTTAGCTATGCAGTCTTGAAGGGGCTGTTTTACCAGCCAAATTATGATTTGGGTGGAGGGGCGACACTGAAGAAGACATCTCACCTTTACTTAAGTGTCACAGGACTGTAAGAAATCCTAACAATTATTAGACCTCAGGAAGGGAACAAAAAAGGATCTGGACACAAAAAGGATGGGGACACACAGGACATGAAAACAAGAAAAATAGGATTAAAACCAACCAAAAATTAGTCAGAGATTTTAGCCAGATGGCATTTCCTCTTCCTAGCAGTCTGACGTGCTAAAGCCAAGCACATGTGCTGCGACAGCAGATGGGAATCACAGAGCTTCGTCCATCGTAGGGACCTACATTAAAGGAAACTATGAAAATCAGAGGGAATAGCTACCCACAGCCAAGGAAATGTGGGCTTTTACATAAAGACCAGTTTCTACAACAAGGCAGAAGTTATGGCTAAAATCAGATTCACTAAAACAGGGTTACAATTAACAGCCTGAATTTGAGATTATACAAAACATCCTAACAACTAATCTTTGCAGACATCTTCAGCTTTCAATTCCTCGTTTCACTCCGTAAATTGTGAAAGAAAAGCACTTCCATTTTCAAAAGTTCTCTCAGATTGCTACTAAAAATAATTCAATAAATAATCCAATCCTTTGCTTGCTTAAATGCCTATCCCAATGGCAAATGAATGCACTAAATGAATAATACTTATTTGTGCTGCTGTAGCATTTTTCCTTTCAAAATTCTCCAAACTCTTTACAAACATTGACTAATGAATCAGGCAATATTTACCCAGTTGCCTGGAAAGCAAAGATAGACTTTTTTTCAACAGCAAAAATAACAACCGTTAATCAATGGCAGAGGCAGCAGCAGAAACTGGGTCTGCTCGGCTCTCATTAGCGGCGTCTCTCCTAGCACAGGTCCCAGTGCACTTGCTTGCCGGAAGCCTGACCTGCCTTTTTGGAGCATCCGGAGCATTTACAGAGCTGCAACATTGTGCTCAAGCAGTGCTATAAGTCAGCACCACATACTACAGGGGGCAAATAAATTTTAAAAAAGAGAAAACTCTGTTTAAATCGACACCATAAAAAGAAACTGCACAGAAGACCAGACCTTAGCAAACATTATTAATTCAGTATTCTATCATCTCTCTCACTACTGTTCAGTTAAACGTCTCAGCAAGGATTTCCTAATGAGAAGGCTAAAACAAATTATTTTTGTCACATCATTTGTGGCTCCACAGCGCCACATTTCACCACGTGCAGACCCACGTGTGCTGCCCCAGTAGGCACTGAGGTACCTACTTTCACACTGGAAACCATTTCAATGCTGATCTTCAGCAGGAGTCACCTTCCATCTGCCTCCATGACCTGGATCGCATCCTGGTGGAACAAGGATGTCCTTGCAACACCGCATGTGGAGACATTCCAAGCACATCATGTTCTGCAAGGTCCTGAAGCACAAATACGCCCAATTGCAAGGAAAGGGCAGGGACCTGGCACTTCCCAGCCCCAGCACTCACAGCTGAGCCCAGGCACTCCATGCGAGCAGCAACCTCTTCTCTCCCACTGTTTCATGAGAAACCACCTATTTCCTCAGAGCCTGCTGGAAGATCAAGCATGCTCCCTGGTCTCTCTCAGGCCACTCACCCTGGAATTGAAAGCTCTAGTTTGACCTCCAGCTCGGAGCACAGACCCAACAAAAACCGGGGAAAGGCAACATGGTTTCCATGTAAGTTGGCAATCGAGGCAGCCGCCTTCCAGCCCCAAACCCGCTCGCTGCCCCGTGCCGCGCGGAACGCCCAACACGCCGACACGGCTCAGCAATTAATAACGCTCCCCATCAGCGGAACAATGTGCTCTTCATTTCTCCTGAAAGTTAGGAAAAAAGGGAATTAAAAAAGGAACAAAAAGCCCAGCCATTAAAGAAAAGAGAAAGACTGCTGTCATCGCCACAGGGAAGCAGAGACACAAGCCGCAGCTCCGCATGGACGCCAACCTTGCCAACGCTCGGAGCTGAAGGCAAAGCAGCCCGCTCCAGCAGGGTGTGAAGAGCAAAGCCAAAATTCCCTGCTACATATTGCTGCCAAACAAGCCATTTCTTGTCAATATTTGTAAAACAAATTGAGCCTGTGCTGTAAATATCCCTGCATCTGTGTGCTGTTTGTTAAGGCACGAAGACTTGCAAATAGGCTTCACTTGCACGAGCAGAACAGCTCGAGCAGCTCAGGACTCAGAGCAGCCACAAACAGCCCCTGGTGACCAGTGACAGACGGCGCCGCTGCTGCCTCCGTCCTATTGCTAGGATGGCACAGTCACCTGTAGAGAAAATAAGAAAAAAAATCCACTTTTTAAACTTTTGAACCCAAAGGGTTCAAAAATCCTTCTTGGAACTTCCTTCTGCAGGAGGGCTTAGCAGAAGGGAGACCTCTCAAAAATAGCTATTTGTTTAGTTGGACAGAGCATCTATTCTTTTTCTTCAGGTTCTTCCCAAACAAGTGATCTAAGAAGCAGCACTGTTCAACCTTTCCAAAAGCAAGTTACATTTACTGCCATGTTTAGAGGTCATTCAGCAAACAGGTTTTGAAAGTACTGGAATGGGAGCAGATTTGAGGAACCTGCTCTCTATTCCAGGCCTGACACCTCTTACAGAATGACCTTAACCTGGCAGCTCCACTTCTCTGGGAATAACTCACCTTTTGCTGTGGATGGGAAGCTTAACAAAAGGCACTACGGATGACAAGCTTCCTGTGAAATGTATTGAAGTACTTCCTGGAAAAGACTTCAAAACAGATTTCTTGCAAGTAACTATAACACTTCTGTTCTAGTTGCAACACTTGGCAATAAGGAAAATGCAGAAAAGTATTAGAATCTGAGTAACTAAAGCGAAGGAAAATATCCCCTCCCATCCCCACCACTCACAAACTTGGAGACTGATCTGCTGAATTAAGCGCCAAAACTCCCTGGTATTTTAAATAGAAGCAGTACTGGATCTAAATGCTGAATATTCTCTTCCCAAGCCAGAGCTAAATATAGATATCAGAGATGGTTATTTCTTCATTGTATTATAGCAGCATTTTGAAGAGCTAAACAAACAGCCTCAACCATCCTGGGAATTGAAGTGGGTGCACATGCAAGGACTCCACAACACAGAAGGAGCCTAAAAAGAAGGGAAAATAAGAGATAAAAAAGGTCAAGTGACCATTCCAGAGTCAAGGAGACTGACTACAGACACGAGTCAAGATGCTGGCCAAAGATTTCTATTCTTACTTATATTCTACACTTAATGACAACCCCAAATTTGATGCTTTGGTTAGATAAGGAGACTGGATTTCAGGTGTATGACGTATTTCCACATTGTGTTTGTTTCCTCAGGAAAAATGCAATTTATTTGCTGACTTCTCAGTGGGTGGGTACTGGTAGAGGCTTCAGTGACCTCAGAGGAGCAGTCCCACTCTTGGCCAGCTGATGACTTGGAGAACTGTCCCCATCACCTGAGCAGGCCTGAAAGTGTCCCCGCTGTTGGACTAGCCCAGCAGAAGGCAGAAGCACAGGGCTCCACGGGACAGCTCTCTGCCTGGGGGCAGGAGGGAAACAGGACAGGTTAACTAACAACACGAGCACATCCCTTTGGATGTACCAGCAACTTATTCTGGGTCGCCGCTTTCTGACAGATGGAGGTAGTTTTGAGAGGATACATTTAAGAGAGCTACATGCTTTTCAGAGAAGATTCGGATCTGAGACCCATGTTCCACAGCAGGCCATCCTGCAATCGGGTAGGACAGCACATACTTGCTCATTCCTCCCCAAATTTGCAAACACTTTCAGAAACACGTCTTCCTGCCTCCCTACCTTCACAGCAAAAAAACAAATAAGCCACCGTGACAAACCTACCAGCACAGAAGAAGCTCTTTAAAAGAAAGCACATTTTACTGAGAAACACCAGTGCGGGGACACCCAAAACCAATAATCCTATCGGTCAGGTGACATTTGGAGCTAGAGCAGAACCACACTGCCCTCCAGTCAAGGTGCCACATGGGGGATTCCTCCTCTTCCCTGCTTGTGGGAGAGCCAGAACAGTCACAGTCTCTGTGCTATGGGGTCCCCGCGAAAGCAGGTGCTTGTTGGGGTCTCCAGCTTCTGGCACAAGAACACGCTGTCAGAGAAGAAACGGCAGCAGCCATGGGGAAGAAACCATCCTCCACCAATGGCCTGAGGCAGAAGGGTTGGAGACACAAAAGTTTCATAAAGTTACGAAGAAACTGCACAGGGTGATGTGGGTTCATTTCTAGGCAGCAAGTTACATGGCTACCAGAAAAAGTGAAGTCAGCAATAAAATCCAACAGAGGAAAGAGAAAAAAAGGAAGGAAAAAAATAAACAAAAAATCCCCCCCACAAGACCAAAAAACAGCGTGTCACATACCCACAGTCTATCCAGCTGATGGTGCCTCGTCCCTTCACCTCCTGGGCCACACTGGACAGTAACCTGAGTGAGCTATCCGCAGCAGCAGCTGGAAAACCAATAGCAGCACCATTACCCCAAGCAGAACAACACAGCAGTTGCATTACCTTGTTTTGAGGCTCAAGAGGAACATTTTTCTGAAGTTTAAAGAAATCAGTATAAGAAATGAGGGAAACCATCCCTAACCTGGAAACAACATCAGCTAGAACTGAGGTTTTGTGGCTCTTTCCCCTTCTCCTCCCCCTCACCAATAACTGATGGTCCCATCTTCAAGCAGACATCCCGCCCTATATCCCCGTGGCTGCACTGCCCTCTCCCACAAACCACCTTCCATCCATCACTGACATTCCCATGTCAGGGCATTAACTGGTTTGAACCACTGTCTGCTAATGGCAGCACTTCATTTAGGACCTTCCTCTGCTTAAAGGCAAGTCTTTTAGTGTCTCTGCCAGCCTCAGCTCCATCCCTATAATACACACATAACAGGACACTGTTATGCTCATAATATCACTGGGAGATACCCAAACCAACAGCTGTGAGGAATGCTAAACTGTTAGTCAACAGCACCCAGAAAGGGTCCTTCCAATAATATATAAATATCCAGTTAGAGATTTTACTTCTTTACAGGGCCACATCACCTGCACAGACTTTGAAAACCATTTATATTCCAAAATACTATTATATAATGGCGTTAAAAATAAACAGAATAAACAGAGAGGGGAAAAAAAAGAAAAAAGAAGAGGAAAAGGCAGGAGATCTCAGGAGAAAAAGTAGGGATTGCTTCCCAAAATATAATAGAAACTATTTCCCATCTCAATAAACAGAAAATAGAAATTTAAAATCTTCTCCAGATACACTTGAATACCCTTGCTAGTCCACAACTGATAAAAATATATGAAGATAGAAATGGCTATACTGGATTACAGCAAATCCATAAAGTCCAGCAGCTTGTCTCCAATGGGGGAGAAAGTGAATGCTTGTGGTCAGAGTAGAAAAATAACATAGGCATGTAGCGATAGTTCCCCTTAAATAATCTCCAAGTCTCTGCAATTCATACCTCAGTCTCCTGAGCCTGAAATACTATTTTTCAGTCTTCAACAGTCCTCGCTTGGGCCTGATGCCAGCAGCGACTCCAGCCCCCGCACATTAGCTGTCAGGAAACTCTCCCACCCAGCGCTGCTCCCTGCAACGGCCACCTCTTCTCCAACACGGCCATGTAGATGTGTGTGGGAACGTTTCCTATGCAATTACAGCAGAACAGCTTGACAAACATCCTTTAAATAAAGATGCCTAATTAACACAAGTGTTTGGGCCCAGACTCTCTTTAAGACTCGCTAGTTGAGCAACCCTGGCAGGATATCCAACTGGTGGAATGGAAAACATTTCCTGCAAGCGAGGACATCTCCTGGATCAACAAATCTTCTGCATGAGGTAGGAACACTGATCTAGTTGTGCCCTCGTTGAAAAGCAAAGACCTCTTCCCAGCAACATGAACAGATCAGCTGCTATATGATCAGATCAGTTATATGTAGATGTTGGACATCTCATCACAGCAGAGTGATGTGGATCTATAATTAGAGCTGTGCCTCTTTTCAACTTTTTCCCCTCTCCCTTCTTTCTTACAGGGCAGTAGTTAGGCAAGAGCTTTCTAACTGTGCAAAGATCACTACTCTAGAAGGAAACATTAATCACACAGTCAGTTCTGTACATAAGGCTTTAGGCTGCTAAAACCAACCAATTAAATAATAAAAACAGGGGAAAAACCATCTCCACAACATGGCTTTTGAAGGATGCCCATAGGGCAACATTTATTTGATGAGTGTCAGAGCCAAAACGTTCTGGTTGTGCTACTAAAAATGAAAGGAACTACCACTAAAAACGTTAAGCATAAAAGGAAATTTTTCCCTTTAAGAAGCTGAATAGTACAGATGCTTTTTTATCTAAAGTGCTCCTTTCAAAATCAAAAAAGTTTTAGAAACTCTTTTATGACTTCCACTTTGAACTTGCTACTACAAAACCATTTGGCTGATTTCTGCGACTCAAATTTTCCCATTATAACTGAATCTAAATATTTTAACAAGATTTAAGTCACACACTCTCATTTTAGTCATTTCCAAATGAACATGTCTCTAGAAAACAAAGTTAATTATACCTGTATCTCCATGCTGTTGTGTGAAAATATTCCTATCTGATATTTGGGGAAATACTGGGTCATAATATACTGCTACCATTTGCTGCACAGCAATTCTGCAGGTGTCACTGTGTCTGAGATACAACCATAGCACAAGCTAAAAAGGGAGAACACAACCCCCAAATAAAATATTATCTTGCATTGATTGCTCTGCAGGAAAGAAAAGGAAACAACAACAAAAATCAAGGTCTATACATCTAACCAATACTTTAAAAGGCAACTTAGCTATGAATTTTTCTTTCTTCCATTTAGTGAATTCCCTATCTGCAACAGCATTCTCCACTTGCACATAGAGCTTAAAGATTGGTCCTTTATTTCACATGGTGCCACATATTATTCTCCACAAATAAAGAGGAGGATTGGGAGGAAAGGGGGGGGGGGAAAAAAAAAAAAAAAAGGTGCAGCAGGACAGGAAGACACATGAGGTACAAAGTAGAGAAAGGAACAAATGACAGAGCAAAAGGAAGAAGAGATCAGCAAAGATGAACAACTAGGAAGAACAGCCTGAATGAGAGGGGAGATAAAGAAAATATAAGGGGACAGGTGGCATGAGGTGCAAGAGGGAGAAATGGCCCATCTCACAAGAGGCTGACTTTTTATATTTTGCTAAATTAAAGTTGAAAGACAACCACGGGACCCACAAAGATGCCAAAGTAAAGATGGTTTCATTCTTGTACTATAACTTTCATTAAGCCTTTCAGTGCCACCAGGAGACCGAAGCTTGCAAAGTACTGCGGCAAGCACACAGCTCAGGCACGCTGCTGCCACAAGCAGACATGTTTTGGAGATAAAAACAGAATAGAGTACATTTTCTCCAAGGTGACAGTGAAATTAGCAGAGCAAATTAAGAGTCTTCAAATTGAAAGCCCCAGGAATCTGAGCCCATATTCTATAGTGTACAGTCAGGTAAGATAACATGAGACAGATTGCAAACACAGGAGAAGTCTTCAAATACGTACCCAGTACCTGAACTGATGCAGGGATGTTCACAAATCCACGCAACCTGCTGGGCCAAAAGAGTTGCAACGTTTAGAAAAAAAGAGAACTTACCAGATTTGGAATACAGCACTAGTACGTTATTCCGCGTCCTGAGAAGCTTCTTGAAATCCTTGTGGTCACTTATTTTCTCTATGAGCGGGGACACCTTCAGCGAGGACAGGAGCGGCGGCAAGAACACCTAGAGGCACAAGAAACCAGAAATCTTTAGTAACGGCACCCACATGGAGAAACAAAAAGCAAAGACAAACTGCTCAAACACTTTTGAAATTGCCTTTGCCTTCTTGACAGGCTTGAGACGCACTTCCTTAAATCAATTATTGTATTGATTTGATCAGCAAAAGCCAAGAAAAGACAAATATGATTTATTGAAACTAGAGAAATATCGCTCCCAGAAAACATCCTTAAGTGGCAAGATGAGATGAACATCAAGAAATGTGTTTTTGTTTAAGAAGTTAGCTGCTTTACAAGCCTTTTCTCAATCAGATAAACACACCTGCATAAATGTAATACTGTCACAACAGAAGCAGCAAATTGCCACTTGGAAAGCACCCCTGCCCCTAGACCTTGGAGAGCTTTGCAAACCTGATCTCCACCCAGCTTCCATGGCTCGAGAGGTCTTCTGCTTGGTGAACAAGATCAAAATGACATCAAGCAAATGAAAGAAATGAAAACAGAGTTTGTGACCAGTCTGGTGCCCACACGAAGGCACCAACAACCACAGGCACCAGCTCTGGCTTCCCTGGCCACATTTCCACTGTTTTCACAGACAAGTCATTTAATCTCCCTGCACCTCAGTTCTGCATCTATACAAAAAAACCTATGTGGTTTGTTGCACCTTTTGCTCTATTTAGATTATGATCTCTTCAGAATAGAGTTCATCTTTTACTCTACCAGAAAGTGAAATTTCTAGCAAAATATGGCCAAAACCTCAGCTGGAAACTTCACTACCCATTTATACTGTAATAGTCTTTAATAATAATATTCCTATCCATCAAGCTATGCTGCCTCTTTTCTGCACCGTAATAAGTTCATGGAATCATTATGGAGCGGAATGATTATAGGAAGCTTACCTACAGAAATTATCTAGTTTACATTCACCTTATACTAAAGCTTTAATACCTAATTGCTTGGCTAAAAGCTTTAGTTCGTTTTTCTAACGCACACGAGCTTCAACATTTCCTTAATGACAGTACTAATTTTTAGCACAGCTCATTCCAAGCAGGGAGTAAAGTCTGTGTCCAGAGTGGATGTGAGAAAAGGAAGAGCAGGTTCTTCTTGCATGTCATGCACCACAGATTGCAGCACTCCCAGCAAGGCACTGTGCCAATGAAAGGCTGAATGCTCAGCCCTAGGCACACTATTTCATTGCAAATTCAGCTATTTGCAGACACCACATTGCTGAAGCTCAGAAACCCAAGCTGCCTCCTATGAAACACGCTGGATTGGGGAATTCTGGAATGCACGAGGAACGGTGAAGAAGCTACGTTGAAATGGCTGCAGTGCTCCAACGTGTCTCGGGACGCGCTTGAGAATTTGAAGTTATAGTCGGTATTACCATAATGTAAAACACAAAAGCACAACAGGCTGAGCAGGCTTAGCGTGAACAAGTTATCCCACAGTGCACATAAGACTCCCAACACGTGAGTCCCGTTGATGAAATGGTCTAACTGCTGAGAGGAAAAAAATCCCCACAGCACTTGCAAGTCAGTCACTGCTTCAGTATAAACGTGTTGGATGCTTCAACGCCACTGACAGACGCTCATTCTTTCAAAGGCAGATGTCCAGAGCTCAACCTTCATCTCCCGGCTGCTGCGTGTGCGTCACACGGACACTTCTCGAGATAAATACATGGTGGTGCCAATCAAAGGAGACAAATATAGTTGTGCTAAGAGAGGTGACACACGCACGCAAACTCATGCTCAAAACTCACGGCAATCAGAGGTTTTGCAGCAGGGATTAATTCAACATGGACTTTATGAGATCTCTTTAATCCAGAATTTATATAGATATTTTTAATCTAGGTGAAGAAGAAAAAATTCTAACTTCGCATCAAGACTTCGAGCTTTATGCCTTAACTCACAGAAGGCTAAAGCTGAACTTGGCTGAAACTGAGGAGGAACACAAAGGCAAGGAGCTGAACTGTTTCTTATTCCTCCCCTTTGGCTTAGCAAACTGGAATCAAATAAGGGTTATTGCAGTCTATGAACTCATTGCTGAGAAGAAAGAATTGAACTAAAAAGGCTACAAAGGCCACTTCTGAAGTAACACCAAATGGTACCAGGGACTTTGTTCAAAACATCTGTACACATTTCCCAAGCACACATATTCCACGTCTTTTCCAGATGGAAAGGCTGTTTGGCCAATTTCAGCTTTTTTCTTCTTATAACGGCAGAGCTATAAACCTTTGAAAAAACTGGATTCTGGAAACGACGACAACTTTAACTACTGCCTCGGCCGCGCTGCTGCTAGCGGGAGGCTCCCAGCACCCGCGGAACCAGCGGCTTGGAGGGAGAAGCCGCTGGGAGCACAGGTACCCGCTGCGACTCCCCACCGTCCCCGCGGTCGTCGCTCCCGCCATTCGCTCCCGCAGGGCTCCTGCTGCACCTCCCACGGTGCCAAAGTTTCCAGCAGGCACCAGGACAAGCACGGTGCTCCCGGGAGCACCCGCTAATTAAGATGAACTGTTAGCTGCAGTCTCTCCTGGTTGTAGCAGCTAAAGGTCCAAGCTGAAGGCATCGAGTTGGACAGAAACAGCGTTTGTAAACTTGGGAGGATTAGCTTGGTTCATGCTTTTCAGATTTCACCTGATGGAATTAAAGACTCTACCCAAGAATGAGGCAGCTTTCCCTCAAAGCTGCCTTGAGAACATGCTCCTTCACCACCAGCTCCATCGAAGGCCACCAGCGGCAGGTGGTCACACACAGAAGGTGCCAGGCCCGGCCATGGAGGACACGTCCTAGTGCAGAGCCAGGGCCGAGCGCCACCAGGATGGCACCTCAAAGGGCGGCAAGAGCATGACATTAAGGGGAGCTGGGAAGCGAGATCCCCCAAAGGGAGTCACGCACCCCTGGCACAGAAAACAGGCCCGCTGGCCTGTGTCGCGGTTTGATTCCCTGAGGAGAACCCTGAGGGCTGTGCTGCCATCCAGAGRGACCTGGACAGACTGGAGGACTAGGCGGCGAGAAACCTCATGAGGTTCAACAAGGGCAAGTGCAAGGTCCTGCACTTGGGGAGGAATAACCCTGGACACCAGTACAGATTAGGAGTGGACCTGCTGGAGAGCATCCCCACAGAGAGGGACCTGGGTGTCATGGTGGACGACAAGTTGACCATGAGGCAGCAGTGTGCCCTGGTGGCCAAGAAGGCCAACGGGATCCTGGGGTGCATTAAGAAAAGCGTCTCCAGCAGGTCGAGGGAAGTGATCATCCCCCTCTACTCAGCCCTGGTGAGGCCACATCTGGAGTACTGTGTGCAGTTCTGGGCTCCCCAGTACAAGAGGGATGTGGAGCTGCTGGAGAGAGTCCAGCGCAGGGCTACCAGGATGATCAGGGGCCTGGAACATCTACCATATGAACAAAGGCTGAGAGAGCTGGGCCTGTTCAGCCTGGAGAAGAGGAGGCTGAGGGGGGACCTGATCAGCGTGTATAAATACCTCAAGGGAGGCAGTGAGGAGGAGGGGGGCGGCCTCTTTTCAGTGGTGGACAGCGATAGGACTAGAGGAAATGGCTTCAAACTGAAGCATCGGAAGTTCCACAGGAACTTAAGGAAGCATTTCTTCACTGTGAGGGTGACAAAGCACTGGAACAGGCTGCCCAGAGAGGTTGTGGAGTCTCCTTCTTTGGAGATCTTTAAAACCCGCTTGGATGCGGCCCTGTGCCACGTGCTCTAGGTGACCCTGCGTGAGCAGGGGGGTTGGACTCGATGACCTCTGAGGTCCCTTCCAACCTTCGGCATTCTATGATTCTATGATTCTATGATTCACGGGGACACGTAGCCCACACGCTCTGCACAAGTCTCTGCAGAAGAGCTCACCACAAAGCTGCACCCTGTCAAGCACACGGCATTTTGTTTAAACCCAGGACACAGGAGGAGAGGAAATCATTAAAGAAGTCAGGAAAAGAGACAGTCTCTCCTGGGCAGGAAGTCTCTCTCTATTTGCATCAGGAAGTGCTATATCCACACATAGGGGATTTTATAAATAAGACACAAGCCAAACTCTCTTGCCACTTCAGAATCCTGAAGCTTTAAAATCTCTTCATAGTAATCACTGAAAAGTCGAGAAAAAACTCTCAATACTCCACCTGAAGGACTATTTCCTCAAGAGCTGCCTGCCTTGGCACCCTTCAAAGTAGGGAGTGTATAAGCACACCACACAGAGCAGCTGCGCCTGGTGTCCCCTGTGACAGCCAAGCTGAAAAGAAATTGCAATAAAACTGGAGGAAGGTCTCTCATTTCAGGCTGTCTTTGCCCACTACCTCGTGGGATGGGTCCTCCTCACCCACAGCTGGATCCAGGAACTGTAACCACAACAGTTCCCCAATGCCCTCAAAATCAGGCAGCTTTGGTGGAACCCTCAGGAAAAGCTATAGTTAGGGCCATGAAACGCAAATTCAGTAGCACTTGTAGCCTGGGGATTTTCCCCAGCTCAAAACCTCCATCTGAATTTATTTTCACAAACTGTATTGTGTAGGTCACACATTAGTCACATAGCTGCAGTGTTGGAGCTAAGATGCATCAAAAGACTCATATAAAACCAGGGTGAACTAAAACCTTCCAGACAGTCAACTCAAAACTGCTGAGATTTACTATTTGAACACAAGGTACAAAACCACGTGTGCTCTAGCTCTGTCTCTGCTCTTCAAATCACTGCATATTTTTAAGAGTGCAATGTTGCAAGCTAGGCAGAAGAATTCGATCAGCCGAAAGGGTTTTGTTATCCTTTCTTCCCCAATCACCAGCAATTCCTTACACAACGGCAGGAAGGTGCAAGAGCAGCAAAGCACTCACAGCCCCAGCCAGGGCAGAACTGGCACCCAAGACAATTCAGTTTTCAGAAAAAGAGAATACAGACAAATAACTGCTAATTACACTTCCAGGAGTGACACTTGTGTAAAATGTGCTTATCCCCAGGCCAAGCTTCCCCTAAACTTATGGAAACTTTTCATCAAGGATCTGAGA